CATTTATATAAAATGTAAAATAATTCTGAAAAAAATATGTACAAAAATATGCAGTATGCTGCTAATATTTCATTTGACGACTTTCTTCTTGATTTTTCATTCAACGTATCACTCAAATTTTAATTTTAGTCAAATTTTAATCTGACCTTAAAAAAATAAGAGTGCAAATAAGTAATATTAAATCAAGTAACCAATCGTCGGTTAAACATAAGCTAAAATAAAATCAAATAAAGTATTTATAAATGAATATATAAATGTTAATTTAACACACACACTCTCTCTCTCTCTCTCTCTCTCTCTCTCTCTCTCTCTCTCTCTCTCTCTCTCTCTCTCTCTCTCTCTCTCTCTCTCTCTCTCTCTCTCTCTCTCTCTCTCTCTCTCTCTCTTTATAAATAAAGACCCAAACGGCTCTGGTTCCTCGAGGCAAAACACTCGCCAGAATATTTCATTAGTGTCTGTGTAATTGAGTTATCTGTGTGTGTCATGCAGAGTGGGCAGATGCTGATGCAGATGTTGGTTAAGTGGATAAATGGGCATCGCTGAAGGTGTGAACAGACAGCTGGAGGTCTTAATCCTCCTCTGTTATGTGTGTGCTGGTTAAAGACAGACCGCACTTGCTCATGCTCTGCTGGATTTGTTTCCGCAGTCTGTACCTGTATGTTATGTGTGTTCAGGGTGCAAAATAAACTTGTTGTCACAGCAATGACAGGTGAATAAAAAAAATAGCTGGCCATAAACATGCACTATTTCAAATTCAATCATGACAACTCTCAAAGTCGTTTTGGTATGTTTATGAATATGGCAGTGTTAATGTATTTGGTCTTGATGGTATGGACTTGCTACTGCCATTAGATACACAGACACGCTGCTGTGAGTGTGTAAGATATGCTGCTGCTGCTTAAAGCGAACACTGAACCAGACTGTTTAAATCTCATTGGCTGCAGGATCAGCAGTGGCCAATCAGCTTGCGGTAATGATGTGATTGCTTGCAGATTGCATGTAAAGGACCGATCAGCCTGGACCTGTTTACACCTTGTCACTTCATGCGTTTTTTCTGATCGGATGGCCATCTGATTTATCAGAATGATTCCATTTACACTAGGGCTGTCACTTTTGTGAAAAAATCCTGTTCGATTTTTGAGACGCAAGTGTTCATTGAATCGATTGTAAAATCGCTTTTCCATGTCTAAAGACGTTCCCATTTTCATCACCAAATACAGGCAAATCCACGGACACCTAACAGGCATGAGGACGAGCGTAAAGAGGGCGCTTGAGACGCACAAGTCAGCAATATTTCTGATGATTTATTGGCGTGAAGTTTCGTGCACAATGACAAACAGGAGCGCAACATTCAGGGATTGAGATTAACACACTCCAACTCGCCAAATGTGGGTAAAAATGAACTTGGACGGGAAACGCCGTCAAATCACGAGCCAATCTGGCGTGTTTCTGTGTTTACTCACTTTCTTTGCTGAGGAAGTTCGTGTAAGCCAAATTTAGCGGATTTAGCGCAAATACGCAACTTGTTAGTCCTCATGATATATTAAATACAGCGTATTGTGCAGAATCTGCGCATTTCTGGCTTACTTGAACACACACGTCACTACGCAACAAATAACGGCGCTTGTTCACTTGCATTGAAGTAATAGCGAATATTAAAAAGCATTTGGTTAACAGAAAAGACATTGTTATTTTCCGACATCCTACATGTTCTGTGCACTGTATTGGTCTGTCCATTTTTGGTAAAAAAAAAAACAAAAACAAAAAAGGCTGTTAAAATCGATTCCCTATTTTCGTTTTCGATACTTGTGTTGGTTGGTCCGATCGATTTTCGAACGTAAAGTGACAGCCCTAATTTACACTTGGTCACATAAATGGGTTTTCGCAAAACGGATATAAATCCGATCTATTTAATGGAGTTTTCATCATTGAAAGCAATAGATATGAGCTGCATTTGATTGAGAATCAGCTCATTTCAAAATCAAAGACCGCAATAGGAGAGAGTGACTGGGTGACTAGTACCAAAGTCCTTTTAGGCAAGTCATGCCACTCGGCCGCCATCTTGGCAACGCCTCCGGGCAGCTATTTCGGACTAACAAGACCAGGCTCCTATCTAAATGAATGGGCAGAGACCCAGAACTGCACTTTCACTGGTCACCGGGACATAAAAACTGCTTGTATAGAAACAGCAGTATAATATGATAAAAATCGCTGAAAAAGTTTGATGACTTTGCCCCAAAATAAGGTTTAAAAGGTCTTTTTCCCCACAGGTTATACGTTTACTACGCATGCGCAAGGGTTCTCGTCTCCGCTGTCGCAAACCTCAACTGTGTGCATGCGTCAGTGGAACCAGACGATAGGCTTACATGTTTCCCGGCTTGACTGTTAAAAGCAGACGATTGGCTTTCCAGCGGGAGGGGCGGGGCATGTGCATACAACAGCCATCTTTGGCATTACGGGTTTTCCCTATATAGTTGTATTGAGGATTGAGGAAGTGGCATGTCTCTATATAAATTGTCTCTGCTAGTACTGACTGATTCACTCATAAAGCCATATAATATATGTTAATGAAATATGAAATAATGTCACTTCTGTTGCTGTTCACGGTCAGGGACTATTTTTTCCAGTGGAAGAGAATCTTCAAGTGATTTCACTTCATGAAAGTTGCATTGATGCATATTTTTTGGCTTTAATAAAACAAATCCCTGAGCCCTTCAGCCGTGACTTATTCACGATACAGCACAGCCTCTCGTACCGACCGTATTGCATTATGCAGACATTTAAAGCGACTGTCCAGTTGGCATTTGTTTGATTCTGTAAATCTGCTCTCATTCGTTGTCTCTGCTCAGGTAACACCAGCTGGCTGATGTGTCTGGAGAACCCGCCGAGCCCCTTCTCCTCTGAGCTGGGGAACCTGCCGCTGCAGGAGCTGTCCAGCGTGCTGATGGCCATGGACGGGGTGAAGGAGTCCCGGAGCGAGGCCCCTGTAGCCCCCCCGCAGGGCAGGCCCTGTCCCATCCAGCGGTCCAACACCGGTGAGCCGCACGACTCCAGCGTCTAATCTCTGATGTTTATACACAGCTGAAATGAGTTCAAAGAGTATATCGGGTGCGCCAGTATTTTAAGAAAGTATGATAAGCTGTGTCAGGATAGCCTACTGCTATACTATCATACACTATTTATGTAGCGTGTGTACTGTGCACTGAATATTTTCTGTTCCCAATAACATTTGCGAAAATGTGCAATATACAACAGAAACATCATCATCCATGATTTTTAGTTTTTCTTTGGCCTGTCGTGATTATTGAGTAATCGTCTAATCTTGGTTATTCAGTTATTTGAGATAACCTCAATTATTGTGCCGTTTAAAAGGGCTATTTGGAGAATTCAGAAAGCCCTGTTGGTAGCGACATCGGTGGCCATTAAAGGGTTAGTTCACCCAAAAATGATGTCATTAATGACTCGCCCTCGTGTTGTCCCAAGCCCGTAAGACCTCCGTTCATCTTCGGGATACAGTTTAAGATATTTTAGATTTAGTCCGAGAGCTTTCTGTCCCTCCATTGAAAATGTATGTACGGTATACTGTCCTTGTCCAGAAAGGAAATAAAGACATCATCAAAGTAGTCCATGTGACATCAGTGGGTTAGTTACAATGTTTTGAAGCATCGAAAATACATTTTGGTCCCAAAATAACAAAAACTAGGACTTTATTCAGCATTGTATTGTCTTCCGGTTCTGTTGTGGATCCGCGTTCAGTGCCGCCGCTGACGTAAGTCATTAATGACATCATTTTCATTTTTGGGTGAACTAACCCTTTAAGTGAACTGTAGCCAGCAACTTCAAATCAGTCACGTAACACACCAGAGACTGAACGAGATATGCTCGCCGTGAAGTCCTTCGCTTAGAAGTAAAAAAGAATACATTTGCAGTGATGCACTGTTAGCGAACATCCTGCCGCCGTCTACTTCTGAGAGCGATGATGAACACTTTCCTCTCAGTAACAGAATAAACACAATGAGAAAGCGTTTGTCCTACAGACCTCTTTACAGATCATGCTGTTCTGCCACTCTCTCAGCCTGAGACTCTGTTGTTTTGTTCTGTCATCTGTGTCCATGCGATGTTGATAGGTTGCCCTGTGTTGGTTTCTGTCTGTGTGTGTGTGTGTGTGTGTGCGGGGTTTGTCGCTGCAGTGGGCGCGCTCAGCTCTCTCTGCTCCCCTGATACACCCGGCAGGTTTCACAGGAGTATTTCCTGGGCAGGTAGATATGTATCTGGTGTGTGTATGTGGCTCTTTATTAACACTCAACAGACCAGAACAAAGCGACTAATCAAAGGTGAACTCAACCAATCGCCATTCAACCCGAGAACAAGGGATGGGATGATTCCTGATTTTTTTTCCTGGAGCTCTTTTCTCTTCCCTTTGCTCTTCTTCTTTCATCCCTGAATTTGACCTGAAAGGCATCTTTCTCTTCTAAAGCTGCCTAGTTTCTGTCATCTGGTAATGTATTCCCTTTATGCGTGTGATTTGAATTTGACTCGCATAAAAGTGTTTCTGTGAGAGACGGACCATGTAGATAGAAAGAAAGGTTTCAGCCGTTCTATATAGATCAAGAGTAACTGACATTTCACTTTTATGTGAACATTTTTCATTCAACATCAATATTTTAGGTTAAAAATGATATTTTGATATTTTAAAAATAGTTTTTTTCAGATTTTATCACCTGCTGTAATTAACTGTTAGCTTTCAGTTTGCCTGTTGTGACTATTTCATTTAAAGTACAAGAATGTTCATGTATTATTATATCAATAAATAATTGCTTGTATGTACGTGCATTTACCTTCATATTAGGGCTGTCAGTCAATTAAACATTTTAACTGAATTAGATATTGCAATTAATTAATTGAATTACTCTCAATGCATTGGTATTTAAAGGGATACTCCACTTTTTTTTTGGAAATAGGCTCATTTTACAACTCCCCCAGAGTTAAACTGTTGAGTTTTACCGTTTTTGAATCCATTCAGCCGATCTCCGGTTCTGGCGGTACCACTTTTAGCATAGCTTAGCATACATCATTGAAGTGGACAAGACCATTAGCATTTCTCAAACAAAAATTACCAAGAGTTTCTATATTTTTCCCATTAAAAAACTTGACTCTTCTATAGTTACATCGTGCACTAAGACCGACGGAAAATGTAAAGTTGTGATTTTCTAGGCTGATATCGCTAGGAACTATACTCTCATTCCTGCGTAATAATCAAGAAACTTCACTGCCGTACCATGAGAGCAGCAGGCGTAATGATATGACACAGCGCCTGAAAATAGGCCACCTTCCGTCAACACAACGGAACAAGTTTTAAATAGGAAAAATATCGAAACCCTTTGGTCATTTTCTTTTTTAGAAATGCTAATGGTCTTGTCCACTTCAATGATGTATGCTAAGCTATGCTAAAAGTGGTACCGCCAGAACCGGAGATCGGCTGAATGGATTCAAAAACGGTAAAACTTAACAGTTTAACTCTGGGGGAGTTGTAAAATGAGCCTATTTCCAAAAAAAAGTGGAGTATCCCTTTAAAAGATCTTGATGGCTAATAAGACGACATGTATTTTATTACTTGCATACTTGTTCCAAAATTACTTTAAATAATCTACTAAATATTCTTATTACAGTAAATAATTTTTAGCTACAGTACAACACCCAGCCATACTATTACTAGTTGGATTGAAGTACTATTTTTAATTTAAAAGTAGGCATATTATTGAATAAACATTTAGAGTAGATGCACCAATGACTGCAACATGATGTCATCATTATTTTGGATTTATTTCCCAGGAAGAGAGAGACCGTTAGAAGTGTGTATCTGCTTCTGTTAACTTTTAGATGTACATTATACAGATGACACTCTCCAACTCTCATTTCTCTTCTCGTTGGGTGTCTGACAGCAGCATGTTCTGGAAAGCCTTTCAGTGTCGAATCACGTACTGATCCTGCTTTATGTGTCCAGCTCGATCAGCTTGTGTGTGTGATCAGAGTGTGTTCGTGCAGGTTTGATCTGTGCATGCATTAGAGTGACTTTAGGAGAGTTTCTAGACTAATGGTAGACGCTCCTCCAGCTCAGTCTGCTGTGCCGCCGTCTTGATTGTGCACACGCTGCCGTCCCACAGACTCTGTTGTGTTGGAAGAGGGTGTGCAGAGCAGGACGGGCGCGTCACCGGCGGAGTCGCAGGAGCTGGAAGAGTTCGAGGCCGTTCCTTCTGAGCCGATCTTCATGAGCACCAGTGCGACACCAGCTGGCATGCTGAGCCGGGTAAAATAATTATCATTCGTTTATTATTTTATTGTTGCTATTTATTTATAAATACAATAATAATCACCATCATTTAGGCATTAAATCATTATCAGACTACAAAAATCACTATTAATATTCACTATTTTATTCACATTATTAATATTATGAATATTCATATAATTATATATTTTAATAATCACAATATTAGAGTTATATTATATATATATATATATATATATAAACAAAAACTGCATGTGTGTACATATACAACACGCATATATACATACACACACACACACATATATATATATATATATATATATATATATGTACACACACATGCAGTTTTTACGTTTTTTATATATATATATATACACACACACACGCAGTTTTTATGTAATATATAGTTATATATTTATGTAATATAGTTATATAATTCACATTTGTTTTTCAAATATATATATTCACATTCATAATATTCATATAATTATATATTAATAATCACAATATTAGTTATTTTATATATATATATATATATATATATATATATACATACACAGTTTTATGTAATTTATAGTGATCATTTTTTTCCCATTAATATATACATATATGACAGAGAGGGAGTTAATTGTTATATTTAATATTATTATTATATGCATATAAATGCATATAAATGTTAATAGAATATATAAGTACTATGAATAATTGGTAATAATAATATTAAGAATAACATTTATTATATAGATCTGTATTTTCAGCTAATATAGTCAAGTGTCAGTGTGTAGTTTCTCCGCAGCACTGGTAGTAATAGACTAATATATCAGCCAGCAATTTTACTTTATTGACATTTACAAACCAATGACTGATTCGTGTGATTTCTGTTATCTCAAGTCCTCCTCGACGTCCAGTCAGGAGGATAAGTCGACGCTGGAGGAGGTGAGTGAAGGCGGGATCCCGATCGACCAGCCCGCGCTGAGCCCCGGACCACATGACCCTGACCTCCCCTTCTCCCCCACACCCCTGAAACAGTCCAGCTCGTCCCCCGAGCTGCAGACGCTCCCCGAGGCGCTGAGCGAAGCCCAAAGTGCCCCGGGCGGAGATGTGCTGTGCCCCAGGATCCAGACGGCCCCAGGCCCGGAGAGAGAGGCCCCGGGGGAGAGCGTTGGGTCCGCCGGCCCGTCCAGCACCAGCACCAGCGTCTCGGTCTCTTCATCGTCCACGTCCCGGATGAGGCTGGAGTTCCCCACGGCCCAGCCGGGACCCCAGTCTCCCACCGGACACAGACCCCGCGGACACACCATTTCAGTGTCCGCACCCTCGTCCCGCAGGGAGAGGAAGATGGACAGAGACTCGTACCACAACCGAGGAGGGCCATCCAATGCAGAGAAGAGCTCAGGACTCAGTCCCAGGTAAACTGAGATCGTTACATGAAATCGGATCTTGAATGTATTAGGGACTTATGATCATATATCAATACCATATCGATATCAGTTATATATACTGTGTGTATGCATGTATATATATTAGGGCTGTCAGTTAAACGCGTTATTAACAGCGTCAATTTTTTTATCGCACGATTAACGCGTTTGGTCTAGCAAACTTTGTAGTTTTTTTCACATACTTTTGCAACAGGACGCGGCATGCGCGGCGCTGCACTATGAAACCCATTCATTTCAATGGCTTGCGCCGCGCGAGGACGTTTTGTTGCTTCGTCGACCAAAGCGCAAGCGGATCTAGCTAGACCGGAAACAACACAACCGGCACGCCACACACACTTGTTTGGGCTTGCGAGCCGGCCAAATAGTAGGTTAACGTTACGTTTTGAGTGGATGACGAGCGCGAGACGCCGAAATGGTGCCAATAAGATTCTGAATGGAAAGTTTACTTTAAAAAGTTGCCAAATGGTTCCATTGACAAGACCAAAGTGATCTGTGTGTTTTGTCGTTGTGAACTGAGCTATCATCATCATCGCAGCACGTCCAGTCTGAAATACCGCTTGATGATGGCCAAGCACACACACACACACACACACACACACACACAGCTGATGCGAATTCTCCGCCCCCTCGTCAATATCAGGACCTCGTCAGTATTTCTTTCACCCTTTTATTGATGGACAGTGTTACATTGTGTGAGAGATTATTTGCTCCAAGTGAGAGTGTTAGTGTGAAATTGAACACTGTATATGCCAATGTTGTTTTCAATAAAAAACATTTGCACAAAACAAGCCGATACACTTTTCCATGTTGATTAGAGCATTAAAATGAGAAAAAATAATGGGACAAAAAGAAATCAAGAGACATTTAGAATAGATAAAAATGTGCGATTAATTGCGAGTTAACTATGACATTAATGCGATTAACCGCGATTAAATCGCGGTTTGACACCACTAATAAACATACATACACACTGCCGTTCAGAAGTTTAGGGTCAGTCAGATTAAAGAAAAAGAAATTAATTATTCTGTTCAGCAAGGATGCATTTTATTGATCGAAAGTGGCAGTAAAGACATTTATGATGTTACAAAAGATTTCTATTTCAAATAAATGCTGTTCTTTTGAACTTTCTATTCATCAAAGAATCCTGGAAAAAAAATGTTATCTAAGTTTCCACAAAAATATGAAGTTTTTTCAACACTGATAATAATAATAAATGTTTCTTGAGCATCAAATCATCATATTAGAGTGATTTCTGAAGGATCATGTGACACTGAAGACTGGAGTAATGATGCTGAGAATACAGCTTTGATCACAGGAATAAATTACATTTTAACATATTCAAATAGAAAACTGTGATTTTAAATTGTAATAATATTTCACATTACAGTTTTTACTGTATTTTTGATCAAATAAATGCAGCCTAGAGGCCTAAATTACACTACCTCTAACTTTTGAATGGTAGTGTATTTATTATTATTATTTTTTATTTTTTTAATTGCCGGTTTGAACACAAAGGCATTAAATAGGTGATTTTCAGCCTAAAGTGCATCTGCCCCTTTAAACAACAGGACGGGATATTATTGTTCACTAGATAAGCCTCATTAATAACACAATAACTCATTATTTATTACTCGCACATTATAATATTCATAGAACTGTAAATTTAGCACAGAAGATGAAGTGTTTAGCACTAGCAGTTGCCGTTGCATCATGGTCTTTTTTTCTTTTTTTTTTTGGTTGTTGTCTCATTTTTAGCAGATGTTTTACATTAAGATGTGCATTATAAATACTTGCACTTAATGCAGGGACAGTTTGTATAAAAATGTGGGGGAAAACGACCCCGCAATTTAAACCTATCAATAATCCATGACGGTGACCGTGGCTCAGTCGTGTAATGGATGGCGTAAGTGTCGTCTACGTTAAGCCGTGATTACGTTCAGCTAACGTTAACGCACCTGTAATGTCTTCTGAACGACAGCCGTTTGATTTCTCAACACAGAGTGCTTCAATTTCCAGCAGAAGCAAAGCATCATATGGAGAGTAATGATATGGAGAGCTTCATTCTTTCTCATTACTGTCATCATCCGTCGCCCCGTTGACATTAAATCATCCTGTCTTCTTCGCTCGCTCGGCTCATTTCCAGAAGTGAGGCGCTTTTTGAGTTGAGCGCTTTCAAATTGTTGCCTTTTTGAATTAGAATTACTTGAAATTACTACCATCCATCTATGTGAAGTTTAGTGCCGCCAGAGTCGGTGATCGATCTTATATATAGACAGACACCAGGAAACCGAGTGAGTTTCCCATACACACTTTCCTCCATCATGAGGAAATGCATCAGAGACATGTATCGGTCTCTTGTGATGGGATTCGCTCAAACACTTAGAGCTGTTGTCTTTCTGGAAACTGTTTACAGTCCCTTTTAAAATGGTTGTGAACAGATTTTAACATGTTGGATATAAAGCTACAGTTACCTCCCAGTAAGGACTGAAGTCCCCGTTACTCAAAATACATTTCCTGTATGGGTGATGATAAGAAAGACGCATAAAAGGAGGAGTTTCTTCCATGGAAAGAGTTTTGAACGTCCTGTTTTTCAGGCAATAATCGTGGATGTGAAATGTTCTGAAGTCATGCAATAACTTTGTGTGAGAAAGCGACTAAAACTAAACATATATTCAAACATTATTTAACAGAAATGTAACAATTAGTGATTAAAAATGTCCCCCCTCGCTGTACCTGTTAATGATGATTGTATGAGAGCCAGTGATGTTCGATTTATCATGATTTAAAAAAAAATTCTAGTCAGAAAGATGGATATATGGATAGATGGATTGATAGATGGATGGATGGATAGATGGATTGATAGATGGATGGATGGATTGATGATAGATGGATGGATGGATGAATGGATGATAGATGGATGATGGATGGATGGATGATAGATGGATGATGGATGGATGGATGATTGATGGATAGATGGATAGATGGATTGATAGATGAATGGATGGATGGATGGATGATTGATGGATGATTGATGGATGGATGGATGAATGGATGATAGTTGGATGATGGATGGATGGATGGATGATTGATGGATGGATAGATGGATGATAGATGGATGGATGGATGATAGATGGATGGATGATAGATGGATGATAGATGGATGGATGGATGATGGATGATAGATGGATGGATGGATGGATGGATGATAGATGGATGGATGGATGGATGGATGGATGGATGATAGATGAATGAATGGATGGATGGATGGATGGATGGATGATAGATGGATGGATGGATGGATGGATGGATGGATGGATGGATGGATGATAGATGGATGGATGGATGATCGATGCATGGATAGATGGATGATCGATGCATGGATAGATGGATGATAGATGGATGGATGATAGATGGATGGATGGATGATCGATGGATTGATGGATGATCGATGGATTGATGGATAGATGGATAGATGATGGATGGGTGGATGATAGATGGATGGATTGATGGATGATCGATGGATTGATGGATGGATGGATGATGATGGATGGATGGATAGATGGATAGATGATGGATGGGTGGATGATAGATGGATGGATTGATGGATGATCGATGGATTGATGGATGGATGGATGATGATGGATGGATGGATAGATGGATAGATGATGGATGGGTGGATGATCGATGGATAGATGGATGGATGGATGGATGGATGATGGATGGATGGATGGATGGATGGATGGATGGATGGATGGATGGATGATGGATGGATGGATGATGATGGATGATGATGGATGGATAGATGGATAGATGATGGATGGGTGGATGATCGATGGATAGATGGATGGATAGATGGATGGATGGATGGAAGATCGATGGATGGATGGATAAATGGATGATAGATGGATGGATGGATCGATGGATGGATGGATGATGGATGATGGATGGATGGATGGATGGATGATAGATGGATGGATGGATGGATGGATGATAGATGGATAGATGAATGGATAGGATTGATAGATGGATGGATGATGGATGGATAGATAGATAGATAGATAGATAGATAGATAGATAGATAGATAGATAGATAGATAGATATAAAGCTATTTTTTATGTAGTGATATTTTGAACAGCTGGCTAGTAATAATTAGTTGTGAGGTGGGTTCAGCGGTTACTCATCCTCCTGAGCATGTCTCTCTATATTGTTAGCAGTGCCGCATGTCTTCCCTTTGATATTGTCAAGGCAAGGTTTGTTTTAAGTCTCGGGTTTTATCCTAATTTGCCAAGTGTCTCTGAGCCGTATTTAATGGGTCTCCTGAGGGGTGAAGTGTTTCAGGACACTTGTCCTGCTCCGACCTCATGCTCCCTGATCCTCTCCAAACTTCTTCCCCTTTAGCTTGGATCTGTCCCCGTGTGATGAGGCGAGTGTGTAGGCAGAGGAAGGTGTTGAGTTGAGTGTTTAGCGCTCGTGTAGGAGTGGAGGTTCAGTAGATCTGACCTTGATCCTCTTCTCTCTGTCTGCAGTTTCGTCTTCCTGCAGCTCTATCACTCTCCCTTCTTCGGCAACGAGTCCAACAAACCCCTCCTGCTGCCCAAAACCCAGGTCAGGTGATAGTCCCTCTCCTACATCTTTAATAATGGGATGAATCTCATGAAAACATCAATGTCATATTTCAGCGCAAATCTGTCTGTCTGTCTGTCTGTCTGTCTGTCTGTCTGTCTTGTCGTTCTTTCTGTCTGTCTGTCTGTCTGTCTTGTCGTTCTTTCTGTCTGTCTGTCTGTCTTGTCGTTCTTTCTGTCTGTCTTGTCGTTCTTTCTGTCTGGTCGTTCTTTCTGTCTGCCGTTGGTTCTCTCTGTCGTTCATTCATTCAGTCTGTCTATCTGTCTGTCGTTCGTTCGTTCGGTCTGTCTGTCTGTCGTTCGTTCGTTCGTTCGTTCATTATGTTTGTTGTTCGTTCGTTCTGTCTGTCTGTCTGTCTGTCTGTCATCGTTCTATCTGTTGTTCGTTTTGTCGTTCTTTCTGTCTGCCATTGGTTCTCTGTCGTTCATTTTCTGTCTGTCGTTTGTTCGTTCAGTCTGTCTGTCGTTCGTTCGGTCTGTGTCTGTCGTTCGTTCGTTCATTATGTTTGTTGTTCGTTCGTTCTGTCTGTCTGTCTGTCTTTCGTTCTGTCTGTCTGTCATTTGTTCGTTCGTTCATTCTGTCTGTCTGTCGTTCGTTCGTTCATTATGTTTGTCGTTCGTTCGTTCTGTCTGTCTGTCTGTCTGTCTGTCTTTCGTTCTGTCTGTCTGTCATTTGTTCGTTCGTTCATTCTGTCTGTCTGTCATTTGTTTGTTCGTTCATTCTGTCTGTCTGTCTTTCGTTCGTTCATTCGGTCTGTCTGTCGTTCGTTCGTTCATTATGTTTGTTGTTCGTTAGTTCTGTCTGTCTGTCGTTCGTTCTGTCTGTCTGTAATTTGTTCGTTCGTTCATTCTGTCTGTCAGTCGTTCGTTCTGTCTGTCGTTTGTTCGTTCAGTCTGTCTGTCGTTCGTTCGGTCTGTGTCTGTCGTTCGTTCATTCATTGTTTGTTGTTCGTTCGTTCTGTCTGTCTGTCTGTCTTTCGTTCTGTCTGTCGGTCATTTGTTCGTTCGTTCATTCTGTCTGTCTGTCGTTCGTTCGTTCATTATGTTTGTTGTTCGTTAGTTCTGTCTGTCTGTCTGTCGTTCGTTCATTCTGTCTGTCTGTAATTTGTTCGTTCGTTCATTCTGTCTGTCTGTCTGTCGTTTGTTCGTTCGTTCATTCTGTCTGTCGTTCGTTCGTTCTCTGTCTGTCATTCCTTCGTTCTGTTCGTTCGTTCTGTCTGTCATTTGTTCGTTCGTTCGTTCATTCTGTCTGTCGTTCATTCTGTCTGTCTGTCGTTCGTTCGTTCATTCATTCTATCTGTCATTCCTTCGTTCTGTCTCTCTGTCGTTCGTTCGTTCGTTCTGTCTGTCATTTGTTCGTTCGTTCATTCTGTCTATCGTTCGTTCGTTCTCTGTCTGTCATTCCTTCGTTCTGTCGTTCGTTCTGTCTGTCATTTGTTCGTTCGCTCATTCTGTCTGTCGTTCGTTTTGTCTGTCTGTTGTTTGTTCGTTCGTTCATTCATTCTGTCTGTCATTCCTTCGTTCTGTCTCTCTGTCGTTCGTTCATTCGCTCGTTCGTTCTGTCTGTCGTTTTGTCTGTCATTTGTTCGTTTGTTCATTCTGTCTGTCGTTGGTTCGTTCTCTGTCTGTCATTCCTTCGTTCTGTTCGTTCGTTCTGTCTGTTGTCCTGTCTGTCGTGCGTTCTGTCTGTCATTTGTTCATTCGTTCTGTCTGTCTGTCGTTCGTTCTCTGTCTGTCATTTGTTCGTTCTTTCATTCTATCTGTCATTCTTTCGTTCTGTCTGTCATTTGTTTGTTCATTCATTCTGTCTCTGTCGTTCGCTCGTTCGTTCTGTCAGTCATTTGTTCGTTCTTTCATTCTGTCTGTCGTTCGTTCTGTCTGTCGTTCATTCGTTCGTTCCATCTGTCTAAATTTTTCTTGAGTTTTTAAAGGGAAAATAAAATTAATTATCATGATAATAATAAAATGAAACATTTTCCATAAAAATAATACTTCTGCTTAATCTATTTTCAATGTGGCGAAGTATGAGCCATTTCTCTGTGAGATGGAACACTTTTCACTGGCCTCTTTCTTACACTGCCTTGATTGCGGCAGAGCTTCATGGTAATGTAGTGTGTTCTGGCGTTCACAGCTGATAGATCGTGCCGTTAAAGTCTTGGATCAGATGCCTCCGTACGACACGCACAAGATCGGTGTGGTGTTTGTGGGAGCCGGCCAGGTACACATCTTTCTCTTTCGGTGAGACTTGCTGTTTGAGATTGGTTTTTAGGAAGTCTTTATGATTTATGGTTGTTTATTATCAGGCAAATAACGAGGTGTCAATACTGTCCAACGAGTACGGGTCCAACCGGTACGCACAGTTCCTGACGGGCCTGGGGAAACTGATCCACCTGAAGGACTGCGACCCGGACCAGATCTTCCTGGGTGGACTGGACCAGCACGGGGACGACGGCGAGTTCACCTACTGCTGGCATGATGACATTATGCAAGGTGAGAGTGCGTCACATCATCATCACGTTATTTATTAGTAGTACTAGTAGTAAGAAATAAAAAATAAAGAATTATTATCATTACTCATAATAGTAATAATAATATTTTTTTGGAAATAACTATTATATTGCTATATATTATATTGTATAATAAAATAATTTACTCAATAAAATAATTATAAAAAGATTTATTATTTATTCTAATGATCAATTATTTATATAATTTATATATTATATAATAATAATAGTAGAAGTAGTAGTTGTTATTTTATTTGATAATTCTTATTACTGGTATTACTAGCTGTTAAGTTATTATTAATACAAACAATAGTCATTATATTATAATAATAATTTACTACTACTAATAATTTTCTTAATAATAATACATTTACATTCATATAATTATTTTATTCATTCTAATTAATAATTATTTATTTTTTCTACTACTTTCTGTTATTAAGATATAATGTTATTAATAATAATTATAGTCATTATTATAATTATTATTATTAATTCTATTTATAATTTAATATTATTTTGTATTACTAAAATAATAATAATAGTAACTATAATCATGATCATTTCTAAGGTCTCTCTCTAATAATAATAATAATAATTATTATTATTATTATATAATACATATTTATAATAATATATATTATTATTTTTATTAATTATAATTACTATTATTATTATTATTATTATTAGAAAGACCTAAGAAATGAAGTCTAGCAAACCTTTCAATGGATGGGGAATATATTTTTAGTCAGTATTTCTTCACTCACTGTTGAATTTTGGTCAACAATTATAATAGAATAATAGTAATAATAATAATAAAAATTTGTAGTAGTATTATTATTATTCATTCTAATAATTATTATTTTAATAAATATTATTTCTAACTAATTCTACTATTACTGTAATTTATTATCTACTATTAATAACTATTTATTATTATTATTATTATTATTATTAGAGAGGTCCTTGAAAAACCCCAACAGTCAGAAAACAGGCAAACCTTTCACGATCTCAAGTATGATGAATCGACTCCAGATCCACTCGAGTCGCTGTTGACTGAGTGTCTGTGTGTGTGATCCATTAATGTAAGTTGAGCTGATCATCTGAGGACACTCAAGCGTTCATAAAGAGAGTCTGACTAATGCAGTCATTCCCTTCAGCCATTTTCCACATAGCCACTCTCATGCCGAACCGAGAGAGCGACAAGGGCTGCTGCAACAAGAAGCGCCACATCGGCAACGACTTCGTGGTGGTGGTTTATAACGACTCCGGGGAGGAGTACAAACTGGGCACCATCAAGGTGTGTGAGAGAGAGAGTCCCTTTACATTGCGTTCCTGTCTTTGCCACATTCTTTCCACCTGAAGCGTTTATAAAATATAACATTTTGTGTGTTGATGTTGACAGGGCCAGTTCAACTTTGTGGAGGTGCTTATAAAGCCACTGGACTACGAGAGCAACCTGGTCACGCTGCAGTGTCGCAAAGGTTCAAATCTCCCGCTTTCATTCAGATATGTGTGTATTATAGTGAAGCCGAAGCCTGAACCCTGTGACTCCTCGTTCTCTCGCAGATCTGGAGGGTTTGGTGGACACCAGCGTGGCAAAGATCGTCTCTGACCGCAACCTTCCTCTGCTCGTGAGACAGATGGCGCTGCACGCCAATGTGAGACTCCGTGTTTTCCCTCTTTTGTCTCATTTCCTTGTGTTTCACCAGTCTTTTACATTTCCTAAAGAGTGGCACTTGCCTGTGTTTTTGTTCTGTGTAACATAGATGGATGTTTTTGACCTGCACCGTTGCTTTTCGTTTTTCCACCTCAACAAAACCCCTCTGTCTGTCAGATCACTTTACGCAATTCATTCACTTTGCATTGAGAAAATGATCAAACTGCTTAAGCAAAAACCTCCTCTATCATGTTTCTTTCACTCAAGTATGTCTTGGGCTAGATACTTGGACTTCACTCAGTATCCAGACTTTCACTTTTCCAGTACATTTTACACCCCTGGTGGTTGCTAGGGCGTTACTATGCAAAAAACAAATCAGAAAGGTATTTAATAGGGCTGGGTATTAACACAAAATTCTATTTGTTTTTGATATTTATTTATTTGGATATCAGATACAGACCGTACATGGCAAATTTAAATCTAAAGCTGTTAAACAGGGAATCAGTTGGCACTACATTACTATAATAATGAAGCTTAATATTAGCTGATTTGTATACAAACACTTAAATTGCTAAAGTACGTTTTTTTATAGTAATAAAGTTATAATACTAACTAATTATGTTTCTACTCCAATTCATTTAAAATATATATATATAAACATGGTGGCTGACATAAAAACTTGACGCATTTATTCAAACATACATTAAATACTGAAGAAAAGTATAAAAATTCTTGGGATTTAAAGGGATAGTACACCCAAAAGTGAACATTTTGTCATCATTTACTCAAACTCATACAGGTTTGGAACAACAAGAGGGTCTGTCGTCATTTGAACACATAAGAAGATATTTTAAAGAATATTGTTACTATAGTATAGTATATACTATAGTACTTTTCCCTTCTATGGAAGTCAAAGGCTTCCTACAACTGTTTGGCTACCAATATTGGTTTTGGTTAAACTATCCCTTTAAAGAATTGATTAAAATTGAGAAATCGATAATCAATAGTTTTTTTGTTTTTTTTTTTGGTGCAAATCATCATAATTCCAGGTATCATTTATGTGTGTAGCTCAAATGATGCAGTAATGATGTTTTCCTCAATGAAAGCCACTAATAAACACCGTATCCGTGAGATGGAAAACCGTTTGCCGCGCACAGCTTTTTTCCTTCTCTCGGATAGTTGAGCTCACCACTCTTCCCACCTGCTGTGATAAGTGGAGACGGTGTAATAAGGCTGTTCTCGTTGTGACTCGACCACCAACGCTTTCCCCCGAGACCCTACACATCACTGCAGGAAGTCTCAGCCCACTGCCTCTGCCGCCAATTACCACAACGTGCCACGAAATGGCCGGCAGGCCAGGGGAGAGGAGATGCAAAATCGGGACTATTTTGGGGGTGGATTAATAAGTTCTGGTTGCCATGGTTACCATTGAACTTTAGAAGGCATTAGTAGACGGGAGTACTTTGGTTTGGGGAAATTAGATTGAAATGCGTTTTCTACTGTGGCAGGGCAAAGTATATCACAATCTGGAAGGTGTTTCACCTTGAATTTAATTACTGTTTCGAGAATATCAATTACATTATACCCTTTTAATGAGTGTTTTATCTGCTCCTTTGTCTTGGAAAGATGGCGTCGCTGGTGCACCAGTCCAGGGCGAACCCATCGGACGCGTATGCTTCAAAATGGCTGGCAAGATTGAGACACATCAAGAGGATCAGGACCCGGGTGAGAGTGCTCACTGCTCACTATAATATACACTCACCTAAAGGATTATTAGGAACACCTGTTCAATTTCTCATTAATGCAATTATCTAATCAACCAATCACATGGCAGTTGCTTCAATGCATTTAGGGGGGTGGTCCTGGTCAAGACAATCTCCTGAACTCCAAACTGAATGTCAGAATGGGAACGAAAGGTGATTTTGAGCGTGGTATGGTTGTTGGTGCCAGACGGGCCGGTCTGAGTATTTCACAATCTGCTCAGTTACTGGGATTTTCACTCACAACCATTTCTAGGGTTTACAAAGAATGGTGTGAAAAGGGAAAAACATCCAGTATGCGGCAGTCCTGTGGGCGAAAATGCCTTGTTGATGCTAGAGGTCAGAGGAGAATGGGCCGACTGATTCTAGCTGATAGAAGAGCAACTTAGACTGAAATAACCACTCGTTACAACCGAGGTATGCAGCAAAGCATTTGTGAAGCCACAACACGCACAACCTTGAGGCGGATGGGCTACAACAGCAGAAGACCCCACCGGGTACCACTCATCTCCACTACAAATAGGAAAAAGAGGCTACAATTTGCAAGAGCTCACCAAAATTGGACAGTTGAAGACTGGAAAAATGTTGCCTGGTCTGATGAGTCTCGAATTCTGTTGAGACATTCAGATGGTAGAGTCAGAATTTGGCGTAAACAGAATGAGAACATGGATCCATCATGCCTTGTTACCACTGTGCAGGCTGGTGGTGGTGGTGTAATGGTGTGGGGGATGTTTTCTTGGCACACTTTAGGCCCATTAGTGCCAATTGGGCATCGTTTAAATGCCACGGCCTACCTGAGCATTGTTTCTGACCATGTCCATCCCTTTATGGCCACCATGTACCCATCCTCTGATGGCTACTTCCAGCAGGATAATGCACCATGTCACAAAGCTCGAATCATTTCAAATTGGTTTCTTGAACATGACAATGAGTTCACTGTACTAAAATGGCCCCCACAGTCACCAGATCTCAACCCAATAGAGCATCTTTGGGATGTGGTGGAACGGGAGCTTCGTGCCCTGGATGTGCATCCCACAAATCTCCATCAACTGCAAGATACTATCCTATCAATATGGGCCAACATTTCTAAAGAATGCTTTCAGCACCTTGTTGAATCAATGCCACGTAGAATTAAGGCAGTTCTGAAGGCGAAAGGGGGTCAAACACAGTATTAGTATGGTGTTCCTAATAATCCTTTAGGTGAGTGTATAATTGCATATATAATATGTATTGCATGAATAATGCATTGTGGGATTGCTTTCTCTTGGCTTTTCCCATCAATAGGCTCAGGAGGAAATCCAGTCCCGTCCCACTCATGGGATCTCTCTGACTCAAAGCCACGGTCCCATGCAGAATAAACCCGCCCACCAGCCCTCCGGTGCTGCTTCCAACCCGGACGCCGGCCAGAGGAAGAGGCTCGTGTCCACCGTCGACGATTTCACAGACTTTGTTTAGTGAGAGACCCATGATGTGTTTTTAACCGAGACGCTGCGTTCCCATCAGTCCGGACGAATGAACCCTTTCCTGAAGGCGGAGGGCAGGGAGTTGATAAGATAAACCCATTGTGCCAGCAGGAAGAGATCCGTTCAGCTGGTCTCACTCAACGCTGGGTATGAACTGACTGACTGACTGAATGAATGTCATAAACGCTGCTCTGTCTGCTGAAGGATGGATGTAAAGACACACACTGGCATAATCGCACGCCATTTTTAGCAGTATCGCGAAACTGCGCACGCAACACACACACGTTCGTTTCACTCACTCAATCTCTCCTGTTTTTCTCTGAGTATATGAAATGTCTGTGATAACCGTCCACACAGCTGTGCCAACATAACAGCCTGCATGAACTACACCGCGAGCTTCGCCAAAGCCACAGTAGAAAACATGGAAGCACTTCACAATAACGTTCTATAGTTATTATATTAGATGTTATGAACTATTCTTAAAGCATTTAATGTTCATTTGCACATGCAGTTTACTGTTAGATTTCATAATGCAACCTTGAATGTTACAAATACTTTAATATTTAGAAATGAGCACGTGCATCGAGTGCTGTATAAGGATTATTCACGCTAACTAATGTGTAGAACATTATTGTCAAGTGTTACTGAAGACATGAAGATGTGAATCCAGCGGGATTGAAGATGACTGTGAACTAATTGCTGTTTGCTTGTTTTCTGTCATTTTCTTTGTGTGTGTGATGGTTATTTTTAATCTGAGTTTCTAATAGAACAACACTAAAACATCAGACGTGTGTGCATGTGTGCGCTTGGGCTACCAAATAAAACATTGAAATGTGCAAAGATACTTCTGCTGTTCTGAGTCTACTTTCACTCATGTTTGAAACGGTTGCTTTAGTCTGTATAGATGCTAGTGTAGGGAATGAGCTTTTCAAGGGAAATATTGGTGAGTTCATCATTTTAATTCATAGCACCTTTCTAAAATTCGAGGCTGCGTTACAATGGAGCAAATATGTTGTAAAGGCGACAGTGTTTTTATTACTCAACAGGTGAAAGGTAAACAGATACAGAATAAATTGCCATATGTAGCTCTAATAGAGTTCATTGTAAAGTATTATTTATTGTGAAGGCTCATTTCATTATGGTTATTGTAGCGCTGTGCTGGAATTTATTCTCGAGGAAGTACGTGTCTATTAACGGGCAAAGCTATAGTAACATCTTCAGCTAGTCCACTTGAGATCCTTTCAATCTAAATCTCAAATGTTGTATGAGCTGAAGGATAATCATATTCATCTGCAGCGCCAAAGCACAACCAAAACCATGTTCTTCCACAAAATGCATGCAGTTTTTTTTTAACTGCTAGAGGTCCAAATGTGCAGCTAACCGAAGGTACCATTGAGTGGAGCTTTAAGCTGTGATTTGAAAGATGGCGATTTCCCAGAGATCTCAAAGTGCAATGTAATGTTTATGTTGTGGCACAAGTGAATAAAAAGCCTTGAAATGAAGCCCCACATGAACCAGAGACTCTCAGCTGTCAGACTCTTTATTTGACTTTGTCAAGTGCAAAAGCATGTAAAGCGAAGTGCTACAAAGTTACAAGTACAACAGCACAATACAACACAAAATGGCAAACCTGCAATCGACACATTACCTTCAGCATTTAATAAAAAAAATGTAGGACTTTACATTATTGCATGCAAGTTGGTTTTGGCACATGTGACTGGCTTGACATTTTTCTGACACACACCTTCTAAAAGTATGAAATATTTCAGCGGCAGTGCTGTCCTGCAAAGAACTACTAAAAAGCCATTATATTTTAAAATGGCCGCTTGTGCTGTGTGTAGTTCTATTAAAAACGTTTTATAAAAAAAAGCAATGATTTCATACTTTTGGGTATTTTTTTCCCAACGCCAAGGTGAAATGAAATATGCAGCAAAGCATTTGTGTGAAATGATGAGTGTACATCCCAACGTCCATTTTGTGTAATGGAAACAAAACAGAATTTCCTCTCAGTGCAGTTAAGGCAAATGAGATTTAAAAAATGCAATCAAACTCTAATACAATATTTACATCAGGGCACACCAATATGTACAGATAAACATGACCTTTCAAAACTTCATCTGGAATGGCCTGAATAAGGACGTTACTGTAGTGGACGTTTGACAGAATCAAAACTCCCTGTAGTGGATCTATTTGAATGCTTAAGCATCACTTCATCATCCAATTACTCTCAACTACTCTAATTTCATTATATGAGACCTTAATACATGTATTGATTGAAGCCAATACAAACAAACAAACAAAAAATAAATCCTGGTTTGAGTTTTTACAAAGAGGGTCCCTGAGCGTCATCACGGTAAACAACATTATTTTAGTACTTCACAAGAGACATTATAAAAAACCAATACATGAAAAATATTAATGGTAATTATCATCCTGATGCAGCTTGTGTATAACACTCAAAGACAATAGTTCTGGAAAGCTGTATGTGAAGAAACATTACACACTAGTTAAGTATGGCAAAGCACTAAAGCTTGACATTGAAATAAAGTGCTAAGTACAAAAGAAACTTTAAGTTAATCTCTTCTTACTTGAGTAGCAAGCTTTGGCAAAATTATACGGAGAGCAATGCTGTTGTAACTATCTCTTATGTTCTTACCAAGCTTATTTGATTATTTCTGCAAAACATTTTCCATAACACATTCAAACTAAATCACACTGATACCGTCACAATCAATCATTTTATAACATCAATACAAAGTGCTTTTTAAATTAGATTCAAAACATCATAGAAGGCAGCAACAAATACTTCCATATATAATAAGCTGATTTTTCATGAATTAACAAACTACTTACAATAATAATTCTTCATGGAACATAATTTTTACCTGCTGGAACAAATAATCCCCATACAGAGAATTCTGGGAGTTGTGCTTGAATGAGGGACACACCTTTGTCTTAATGCGCTCTTAACATTTCCCTTCATCTACCTTTTCATGTCCTTCTATTAACGTATCCCAATTTTTTTGACTCCCTTGGAACTTACGATTTCTGACACTTTCCCTTCTCTCAGTTTTCCTTCTATTTTAATCTTCTCTTACTTGCCCTCAGGTCCATTTCACTCTGAAAAACCTATGAATGGCGATGACATGCAATTATGTCGGAAGAAATATATGTGAAATCCTGAGGATTACTAGTTGTTTAGCACCCTGATGGCCTCTTCAGAAGTATGTTAGTGTGAGTGTGTAAATGTAGGTGGGGAAATCATACAAGTCTATATATTTTCAAGATATGTTTTTGCGTCTATTTCCCTATATTAAAAAGCATGAATTATGCATAAGTACCTCAAAGCTCTATATTTATGGAATCGTATCAAATATGTACCCGCAAATCTAGGTGTGTCTTGTGTCTGTTAGTGTGCGAATCTGTCAGTGTGAACCTTTCTGAATAAGTTGTGCCTATTCTGCATCGATGGGCAATACATACACCCATGACCTTAACATAGCTTCCTTCAACAACAATACAAAAAAAGAACACTATTCATTAAACATAACTAAAAACATTGTATGACAAGTACCATCAAGCTTTAGCCATCCTGCATCAACAGGCGTGCTGTTGTAGTCCTTCATTGTCTCTTTCAAGAGTTTGTTTTGTTTCTGCGACAGCACAAGGTGTGCTCTTGTCGGTTTCAACTCAGTTGACCACCAGGGTCAAGAGGTTGGACTTGAGGTCACTGCGAGAGGGGAAGGAAAAGGGCAACTTGCATCGAATAAACTTCTTGAGGATTGTAAAAACCATGGTGACCTGCACCTAGTTTCCATCTTGTGACTTCTAGTAAGGTGTCACCAATTGAAAGACTTGTGGGTTGGAGCCTAAGGCTATGGTCTGTTATTTGGTTTTGTTTGAGAAACGTCTTGCATTTGCTCTTTTTGAGGGCCTGGTTACAAAACCTGCTGTCACCAGGTCCTCGTTTTCTCATGAAAGGCCGTAACCCTTGAGCTTCAACATTCCTTGAGTCCCTTAGCTTTATGACTCAATTCCTAAAATCTGCCTTAACTTGCATACTGATTGTTGGAACCTTGGGATGTCAAGGTTTGGGATGCCCTGAGATTGGTCTGTCTGTGTTGGGGTGCACCTTGTTTTTAAGAGGGGGAGGTTTGTGCTTGCGTTTGCGGGTGGGATTCGTAGTAGTGTGTGCAGGGTGCCGGAATACACTGGAGGGAAGGTTCTCGCTGTTGCTGGGAGGAACCCACTCATGGGAGCGAGGGATCGGTACTGGGGTAGTTATGGCAGAAACCGGAGCAGTTGAGGGAGTAGATGTTGGTGTGGGAACGGGGGTAGGGGTAGGGGTAGGGGCAGGTTTGTTGGCACAGCCAACAACCTCAGAGTCTCTTTGGAAGTTTGGGTAAACCTTGGAGGTTCCTTTTACTTTATGAGAAGCCGTGTCAGTTTTTTGGACTCTGGGTGGACCATTGTCCTCCTCAGGGGGACTTGCTTTGAGGGGGACCTTGTGAGGGTCTTTCTCGGTCTTGTTGACATCTACCACCACGGTACTGAGAACTGTCTTTTGGAGACTATCGGTCCTGTGGGGACTGGAGTCTACCTTATTGAGGCTTGTGGGAAGGCCACTGGAGATTTGTGAGAAGTTGCCTGATGCACTTATTTCAGTTATCGATGGACTTTTTCTACTCTCTGCCACTAGTGTGTTCCTGTCTGCCCCCTTGTATCTATGTCTCTTCTGTCCTGCAGACTCCAGACTTCTGTGGCGGCGTGTCCCTCTGCCCCGTCCTCTACTCTTCCTCAGCAGCCTCTCTAGACGGCACTCTGTTCGATACAATTCCTCTGTGGCATGGGTGACCCGGTCCAGCTGAAGAAGCAAAGCATCGAAAGCTGGGAGGATTCTGCGGAGCGTTGCCTCCATCTCGGCTCTCTCTTTCCAGCCTTGGCCTCCAACTATCACCCCAAGGCCTAAGGTAAGGCCTAGTCCCAGACCCGGGGCTTCAGCCAGACTGCAAGGGCTGCTGGAAGTGGGCCGCCAGGAGGCCTCAGATCCTCCATCAACACTGTCGGGAGTTGGGGGAGCCTCTGGAGTGTCCAGAGGAGGAAGACACAAGGACTTGCAGTCACTTGTTGAAGAGGAACGTGAAGGCGGGAGCTCCATACCTTCAAATCGCACCTTGTGCCGGAACTATCAGGAAAGAAAGGGATAAAGGGTCAAGATAAGTGTGTGGTGGTAATTTAAAAGGTCAAGATCTGGGGTGA